TTGGCACATACCCGTGCACACACACACACAACACACCCAGAGCGCACAGCTCAGCTGTGGCACCCAGCAGGCCCCGAGGCGCCGGGGGTCCGCCTTTGCGCTGAAGCAGAGCGGGAGCGCTCTCGTGTCCCAGCTGTCCCCCCGGGGATGGAGCCGAGGGGAAGGTGGGGGACGTGCAGGGACACCCAGAGCCTCCCCCCACTCCAGGGAGGGTCACAGCCGACCCCCACAGCCCCACAGCCCCCGTCCAACCCACCGGCTCGCCCACCCTCCCCAGATGGTCCCACCACTGCCAGAGGAGGGACCCACTGCCGGACTGCATCCCACAGGACCCTTACCTCCTCCCACTGGTGGATGTAGCTGATGAGCCGGGAGAGGGGGGGGAGCCGCAGGAGGCTGAGGATCTTGGTGAAGCGGACGATGCGGAGGGCACGGGCCGTCTTGTACACCTCCGAGTCTATGCCCTTCTCCACAATGAGGAAGACGTAGTCCACAGGGATGGAGGAGACAAAGTCCACCACAAACCACGTCTTGAGGTACTTCTTCTTGATTCTCTCAGGGTCCAGGATGATTTCCGTGTTGTCCTCAATGACAATCCCTGTCCGGAAGTTCAGCACCAGGTCCATCAGGAAGAAGGTGTCGGAGACCACGTTGAACACGATCCAGGGTGCCGTGGTCTCCTCCTTGAAGAAGGTGATGCCCACAGGAATGATGATCAGATTGCCCACCATGAAGAGCAGCATTGTGAAGTCCCAGTAAAACCTGGGGAGCGAGAAGATGGAGGAGGGTGTCACCAGCATCCTGAGTTGCCCCCCCGTGTTGAGGGGACCCAGCCATCGTACCCTTCCCTAAGGCACCCATGCTACTTGGGTGCTGCCACTGACGCCACCTTGGCCACGGGCCTCCCTGGGGACCACCCCCTCCCCCGGGGGGACCACATCCTCTCCAAACTGCCCCTGGGGCTGATCCCGCAGGCCGGCACCATCCCTGGCTGAGGCAGGGCTGTGCAGGCAGAGGGTGTGCAGGATGCGGCCGGGGGCTGCCCGCTGCAGGGGCTCTTCCCGCTGCGCCATTTGGCCGGAGCTCTGCCCTGAGCATCCCATCCCAGGCAGGTCCTGGGCGAGGGGAGGACGATGAAGCAGGCGCCGGTGGGGGAGACCCTCGCGCCGAGCCGCCCTGGGGCAGC